TGTGCTCATCTCTCTCGTATATAAGCTTGTGTTGTATGTGAAGTATTCACATTCTCGAGATATGGAGTAGTCAATAAACGTCATTGCCGAGAGTGAGGTAAGCTACTTCTACACTTCGTCGTTACAATTCGACAAGGTTGTTGTCGCCGAGAATATTCATTATATTGTTCTACTTACTGTTATTCATCAGGTTCTTATTGTTGCGAAAAAAAATGCTGTGGAAGAGATGCATCAGGTTGTCTCATTGAAATAAATGAAGGAATATCAAAAATGAATCAATATCAAACAATAATAATGAAGATAAGATGCGTAGTTGAAGGAAAAATTTTTCATTTTTGTACACATGGTTGGATAGAGATCGTCGAGCTGAGTAAGAATATATATTTTTTAATTTAATTTTTTTGAAAGCCTTTTGACAAAAACAAAATCCAATTTCTTCGATAGTTTTGCATGACTCATTTTCTTCTAAAAGACAGTGCACTTTTAAGTTGTATCAATAAAAAAAAATTTTTAAATTCCGTTGACATTGTAAAACTAATATATTCAGATTCTTCATGAAAAACTGCGTCTATGACACTTATTTCTGAAGCTGTTCAATAACAATATGTTGCTAAAATGTATAAGTCTAATAGTAGCAAAAAATAAGAGATTAGAACGTCCGTGAATATTTTTGCAAAGCTATCTGGTTTTTTCTATTCCAAGATATAGCTGAATGTTATATACCATTAGAACCGCCAGATAGGGTGTGGGTGTGAGCATAGATAGCTACGAGACTCACATCCATACACACTCGAATAACTGATTTATTGCTCGATAAATAAAGAAAAATATGAATTTATTTGAGAAAAAACAAAAATCCTTTTAAACGCAGGAATACATTGAGGGTAGGAAATATAAAACAACTTCTTTCTAGATAATGTTTACCAATAGTGACATAATCTTCAAAGTTTCCTTTTACTAAATATTTCGTAAAAAAAAACAACTTCACTTTCCTGTTTTTTATTTTATTTTTCTCTTTATATTTTCTAACATAAATGATTTATTTATCTTTGTGTGGTTTTAAATTACAGATTTCTTTCTTTTTGTTGCGAAATATGAATATTATTTATTTTTTTTTTTATAAAGACGAAATTAGTACTCTAGTCGCAATCGACTTCAAAAAGTAAATCAAAACAAGTAGTAAAAAGAAATGGTTAAATAACAAATACTGTTCTCAAAATTTTTTCTAGTCTACTGTTTTACTTGATCGATATCCTCTTTTTTTTTTGTTTTCGTTTATAATCAGAAAATTAGACTAGTGGTTAGCATCTTAAATTTTTACAGAAAGAGTTTTGAATTTGAATCTAGGAAAATACAACGAATAAACTCTTTATCCAGTAAAAATTTCTTTCGAAGCATAAAGTTGAAAATTATTTTCTTGGTTAGATTTTTCTTTTTCGTGTTGTTCTAGAACAAGAAAAAATATTTATATGAAAATTTGATTACGTAGTCGTTCTTTCCATGTGATGAAAATCTGAAAAACATCAACGGTTTTACCGGTGCGGTTACCAACTCCATTACAGCGATTAATGAGCAGGTTTGTCTGATAAAGCACTACTTTGCTCCAATTTATCGCTAATAGGGATCTGGTTTTTGTGACATAGGCTGACAATCACCTGCAATATCAGCTGGTCTTGCTAAGTTCTTTTTCACGTCATCGACTAGAAGAATTGCATGAGAACAATCAATCATTTTCTTAAACTTTCAAGGTTTTTATATTTTTTTTCTAGTTTCTAATAATAATCAAGTCGTTTTCTGGACCTAATTATCAATATTTTATTTCACAATACTTCGAATTTTTCTCTCTCGTCGTTTTTCTAATCTTGCTTTCTGATCATAAAATATAAAATACTGAGAGTAATTTCACAGCAACGAAATATGAATTTAACATCAAGTTTTGTTTCATAAAAATGGAAATGTAGGTATTTTTTCGCAAGGGAATTAAATCTCAAAACTTGTCGACTTATTGTATTTTGTAGATTTCGATCTTTCGAACCCAAAATAGGATTAAAGTCAATATAACGTTGTGTTAAACTCTGATATGTGAATTTCTTTTTCTTTTGGTAAGAGATAATAATATCTTTCGTTGGTTTTAAAGCTAATTTTTATTTTCAATCCATATTAGTTTCATTAACTCCTGTGATAAAATCTGATAAAAAATATTTTTTTAAATTGGTATGATGTAGAAAATAGGTATTAGATATTGCTAGAAAATAAAACATAACTTTACACATGAACTAAACATACAATCAAAAGTATTAGAACAGTGTATTTCATCCAAGCAAAATAATGTTCCAAATAAATTTTTAAGAAGTTCAACGTTACGAGAACGATAATCATTATAATATAGAATACAAAATAAATTTCGAATTCTATATACGAACGATGTTTTAATTGAAGTAAATTTTCCCACTGAAAATCATCGAGTGGCGAATGGATCAATTTTTCATTTTCAATTTATTTGTAAATAGATAAGAGAAGGTATTAAAAGGAAAGACATTATTTAAGCTTAGTATATTTTATACGACCATTTTCGAATGTTAATAATGTCAATTGTTGAAATGATGTTAAATATATTTCATGTCCAGTATCATCTGTATTGATTTCTTGTAAAACAATACCTTGAAAACTAAGAGAACGTTGCAAAATAAGGTCAAATTATTTGACTGTTATGCTATCCACGTGACGAAGATAGCATTACGTGCAATAGTTCCAATTATTATTCCAATGCATAGAATACATCATCAAAATGATGTTGAACGTTGGAGAAATAAAATTCATTTAAAGAAAAATTTCAAGTAAGGAAAAAAAAACAAATTCTTCTCAAGGAAAACTCTATTATTTTCTTTAGTCATCCTATATGAAACTTCAAGATTAATCTATACTAGGGTTCTGCAGCCCGACATGACCGGATGGCGGGTTTACGGGATACTCTTCAAAAACTGTCAGATTCATTTTTCTTGACGCCATCTACCGCTCTCTGTGTATTTTTTGATGATCTATGTAAAATTAATCGATCATGAAGCCATTGGTTCATCTTATCTTTGAATACTCTAGGATAGTTCAAACACTTCTGAAATGATTGCATAACTTATTCTTCTTCTTTAAGATACGAACAAATTCATTAGAGCAGAAACATATCATTGTACTTATATACTTCAAATAAAATGTGAAATTCTACATGACATTGCCTCAAATAATGCTAAGAAATCACACTATTGTTGCTCATTTGTTTTCATTAAACTTCCTAAAACGTTTTATCAATAATATTGGATGTAACAGTAATCGAAGAAGTATTACTACTTTTGTCTTTCTGATATTTTGGAAAACTTTAATAAGAGGGCTCTACTATGCTATCATCATTTATTAATAACAATAAAGTCCGATATTGTTGTAGAACTAATTAGGCTCTCTAGATATTATTTTGATATTTTTTTTTTTGTATTTTTATGAGAGTTTCAGTTTTTATTGAACAATTATATTCGAAGAAACTAGCGAATAGAGCATAAATAAACGAGTAAAATTTCCAGAGTCGGTCGGATGCCAAAGGTTGAATTCGCGCATGACTCTAATCTGTATCAAGTAAGCATTTATTAAGAAAATAAATTCATATCAATATTGGAAAGATAAGGTAATGAAGAACGTGCTCCAGTACCGTTCAATTTACACATAGCTATATAAGATGCAAAACGAAGTAATTGATCTCTAGACCAAGTTTCTTTTGTTAAAAGTCCATAAATAATTCCACCAATAAATGCATCTCCACTACCTGTTGTATCAATAATATTTTCCGATTGAATAGGCCATGCAGTACAATTCCATATAACAAAGTCTTCTTCATTTATATGAACAACTTCTTGTGAAACAACACTTCCATGATTATTTGTATTTTCAATTGGATGAAATGATTTTTTATTTAATTTTTCAACAAGAATACTTCCGTTTTTACCACGAGTTATTATAACAAATTGACAAGTTTGAAGAAAGCGTATAGCTGTTTGTGTTAATGATAAATCTTTACAAACATTTCGTGAATAATTTTCTGTTGTAATTATATAATTCATTAAAGGAATTAATTGATTTAGAAAAGGTCTTTCACGTTCAAGATCAAGTGAACATAAAATAGATTTCTCTTTAGCTAATTTTGCTAATTGTAGAGCAGCTTCTGTTGAACGACTATCAAAATGAATAAAATTAATATTATCTAACCAATTTGGATTAATATCATTAATAAGTATTTGTTCATTATTTGCACTATATAAACATGTTCGAGTTTTTGATTCTATATCAACAATAATATATGTTAAAGGACTTGTTACTGATGACTGAATAAGAATTAATGTTGTATCAATATTTTTTTCTTTTTGAAAATCTTTAAGAATTTTTTCACCATTTAAATCAGTACCAATTTTTGTTAGAAGTTTTAGTTTAATACCTAAACGACTAAGACATGTTGCTGTATTACCAGCATTACCACCGCCACATATTGTTAATGAATTTGTACGAAGTTTTTCATCCGGTTGAGGAAAATGATTAACTTGAGCTATATAATCAAGACAAGCAGCACCAAATATGAGTATAGAACTCATTTTGAAATCTAGAATATAAAAATAAATTTATAATTTGTAACCAGAATTTTGACAATACGAGTAGCTTAATCGATCGGACTCAATCTGATATTGAAGCTCGTAAGAAAATACAATTTATCCGACTCAGCTTTTAATTACACCATTAGAGATAAATCAACCAGATATCACATCGATAGATTCATTTAGAGATTTTAACAAGAAGCGAAAACCTAAACCTAGTTAATATAAAGTGCTTACTGAAAGCTAAGAATTGATCAAAACATCACAATAATCGCAATTGTGAATTATCTATTCTACTTCTTACTAATTTTTTTTGTTTGTCTTACACACTAACAATATGATAATCAAGCTTTTCAACATGATATTCCAAGAATGAATATCCAACCAGCAGATGATATTGTCTCTATTCATTCATCTCGTCGTACACCACAAACAACTGAAAACGAAGCTGAACATCCAGATTCATCAATTATTCGTCTTCATTATAATCCTTATGGAGAAGATGATCGTGTACATGATATAGCACGTTTAACACCTGTTGAATTAAAACCAAAATATATCATGGATAATCAACAAAGTAATCAATATTCATCACGTTCAAATCCTCCACTATTTTTTAATGATTCTATAATAGCTGATCGTGCAACAACAGCAACAGATGCATATGCAACACCGAAACGTTTAGCTAAAACTCATATTGAAACTGATCGTAAAGCAATGATGCGTCATAATAATGGTCGAATCGATTGATGACAACAAAAATTTAATGATGATTCTGCTTATATTGATAGAATATCAAAAGCTTGAGATGGATATTCAGTACTAGCACGTAATACTTGGGTAGAATCTGAAATAAACAACGATTCATTGAGAAGAAATGATTATCGAGATGAATATATAACAGCAAAAAAAGTGTCTTAAATACAAAAAATATTATTTCATCAATATATGATGAATTACAATATATATGACTTCTCAATTATCAGAAGATTATAATGCATAAAAGATATGATTAATAAAAATTCTGTAAAATTTTTATACATATATTATAATCTAATACTGTTGTTTTCTGCTTGGATGTGATTGGTCTGTTTGTTGTTGTT